CCTCTACATCTTGCTGCCTACCTCATGGAAAGACAAGCAATAGTCCATACCTTCTCTCAGCTTCATGCTATCAAAACTATTCACCCAATACAATGAAAAAAAAAAGAGGAAAATATTCTATTTCCTTTATTTCATGGTTCCCAAAAGATCAATGGAACATTGAGCTGGAGAAGATGAGCAGTCTATTACATGGCATCCCCTGACCCCAACTAGATCATTAACATTTTGCAGATGCCTGTATGAAAATCTGTGAAATCCTGCTCGGTTGAGACAAAGAACAACACAGCATAGGAATAGACTCTCTCACGTGATTTAGATTTAGTCATTATTCCAAAGGACAGTGTCCTGGTTATGGTGTGTTAAAAACAATTGAGAAGAAGAAAGGAACAGGTTTAGGCATATCCAACCCCAAATCCTCCTTCACTGAGCAGAATTAAATTTATGGGCACATACAAACAAATCATCTAAGAATTTTCTGGTGTGCCAGTCAGGTTACAGCTATCTTGTATCATCTAATTACTACATCTTAGCCTTTCAAGATGACTATATGTGGACATCTTCCTACCCACAAAAATAAGCTATTGCTTTTACTCTCTTCCCTTCTCTTCAAGTCTCAGTAAGTTTTCCTTTTTAAACGTACATACACACACATACACACCCTTTAGGCTAAGTACAGACACTCAAAAAGCCTGAGCCTGAATTGATTCAATCTTTGCAGGTTAGTCTAATCTGTGTAGCTTGAACCAGCAAGTAAGTGAATAGACATTCACTTTTGAGTCTGGAAATGCAGCCACATGCCTGCAGTGGTTCAGGTCTGAAGCTGGGGGCTTCTAGAGTGAGCTCTCCCTTCCCTTCTGCAGTGACCAGAAGGCTGGAGGGAAGCTGAGCTGAGGAGTATGGCCAGGCCCCGGCAGGCTGAGTATTACTGGGGAGGGCCTCCACAGCCTGACCTGGCCTGGCCCTCTGTGCTCCCCCTCACAGTGCCCATGGATTGTCCTGGCTCAGCCCTGCAGCCGCAGCCCCAGGCCCCAGGGCTTAGGCAGGGGTGAACTAGACACTAGAGGACCTCCGGAAGTCCCTGCCAGCCCCAC